ATTCATAAAACCAACCGCCTACAATATTTCTATTGTAACTACTATTAGGTCTTGTAAAGATCAACATTTATTTGAATTCCAATTTTTTAAATGGCAGTAAACTCTAAATCTTTCTTTTTTTCTTTTTAAAAATAAATCACAGTTCTTAACATTTTACCCATTAGCATCTCTGACAGGGAAAAATGCCTGCAGTAAGTTGCAACAGTTAAATGCCAGGACCTGATTCATTTGTCTAACTGCTAATACAAGTCTCCAACTTTTTTTTATTCCAGAGAAGATGATGAGTTGCTAGGACATAAACATGAGACTGCCTCAAACTCGCTTCAAGGAGCGCCCCGGGCCATACTTCAAATTGTTCAAGTGACAACAAAGGAGTGCAGTCGGCAAGCTGGGGATAACTCATGAAGGAAGAATGAGTTCATTATTTATAGCTTTTGATTTTACTGTTTCAACTGATACACTAGTTTGCATTGTGGAATTTGTAGACATAGCAAAAGCTGAATGCAACAGTTGTAAGAAAGATACCAAGTTGTAATTAGTGTATTTTTTTTTAACAATTATTTCCAATAGCTTTCAGTGTTAACACCTATGTCAGAGAGGGTTAAGGCAAATGCTGCTTTTGTCATTTGACTTTGTTAGCAATAAATTTTAGAAGGTGAGTTTATTAATTCCCTTGTCTTGTAATATAAAAGTGATCTGTAATGTACGGTTATCTATGTTTATTTTGTAATTATTACGGGAAGCCTTAGTCACCACTTACTTGTACTACAGATCGTCTAGTTCAGGAGTTTGCCACTTTTGTAAATTATTTCGGCTAATTAAATATTAAAGGAGCCGCTGAGAGGGATGGGTTTAATCATGATGAGGTGGGTTTATACATCAAGAGTTGCAGGGTGCCGGATTGGTGTAATGTCTACAGCAGTATTACATAATGTATCAACTTTTTCTTAGGATCATAGAAGAAAATTAATATTTTTAACCCATAACATGACCCATAATTATGATCCAAGTCCTTAACCACATGATGAGATGGAATGCTTGACATCTAATGAAATGGTTTTAACTCATTGTAGCTTTATTATGATAGTGAGTGTTCAGAAAGTTAGTAAATTAACAGGTGTAATATTTAGTTAATGAAGAGTGGAACTTGAGTGGCTTTGTTGTTAAACATTTGTAGATTGTACAGCATGTAAGTGGACCTCATGTTGTTTTGTTAAATTTGTTGACACCTCATGTCATATGTTGGGATATGTTGTTAGATAATTGTACGGCATGTAAGTTGTAAGTGGACCTCACGTTATTGTGTTGTTAAATTTGTTGACGCCTCATGTCTTATGCTGGGATATGTTGGTTACTAATACATAACCTGCCTTTTGGTTTATTATGGAAAGGGGGATTTGGGGCAGGTGATTTCTTGGGAGCAGATTAATCTTTTCTCATTTTCAGCTAGTAGATAAAAGAAAATACAATGTCACCATCTCAATGCAGGGATGTTTTTACTTTGTATGCATGTATGAATATTGTATTAATTATGTCATAGTCGTTCATAGAATTATACCATGGCTGCCTGACAAGAGTGTCAACATCTGTTGAAGTTTATCTCAAGAATCATGCATCACTTTTAATGCATTGTCTTGAATTCTCACTGACAGAAATGGAAAAAAAATTATTGTTATTCCTTACACAACTGAATCAGATTTTTGCATTCACGGTCGCCTGAAATGATTTGATTGCAAGAAATTTCAATACCATTGATAATTTGGGGCATATTTATAAAATTATTTCTTTTCGTCTCACAGAATACTCTAACGACAAATACAGATGATTTTTTTTCTGTTTTGAAGAAATCACTTGTAGGCTTTTTAATAGTTGTTTTAAATTGTTTGAATCTTTTAATACAAGGCTTGGATTATACAAGTTATTTCATCATTCATAGTTCCCTGTCATTCTGTATTTGATTTGCTGCATAGACTGATATTTATCTGATATTAGATTGATATTCCTTAGGGGGGTGGGGGAGGGGGTTGGTGTATAAAGATTATTATTTAAATACCCATTCTGGGACTCTATATCCTTTATTAATCTTGTATATAGGTCAATGGAGTTTATATGAATAACTAAATGTACACCAAAGCGCCGATACTTTACTTTAATAGTGAAAACAGGATAGTACTGAGTCAACAGGCAGACCTGTCTCTAAATGCATCACATAGAGGACTACATTTGCTATGTCACAATTAGATGATCTGGGCTCTCACACATTTCTGGCCTCTATTTGGCATTTAGTGTGGCGGTGCAAGAATGTGCGAACTCAGTGGTGATAGAGCTGGTGTCATTACAGGTGTGGCAGGTGGGTGCTGACCTCTGGCATGAAACAATCAATGGCACAAAAAAATGGCAGGTTATAAATAGCATTTATGTGTCTGTTATGAAATTCTAGCTTTAGAAATTTAAGTCAGTTGTAATAACCAGATAATCTAGTCATGGTGTTTTAGTAACTGCATTTGAGGAGTGGGTTCATCAGGGATTTAGTCAGTAGAAAAATCAAATGGATAAATTCACTTCAACTTAAAGTTGTCAAACACATTGTCATTTTCGTCTAGGTCTATTATTAAATTGAAAGATTTAAAGAGTTGGATCTTTTAAAAAAGAAAATAATAATAATAAATACCACTTCTAAATAGTGAATAGGCTCTCATCGATTATCTTTTCTTTAGTGCATGTTTCCATTTGAAGATTTATTTATATCTGTTAAATTTATTACTCTTGAAGTTGGGACTTTTTTTTTTGTGTGTGTGGTTTCTTCTTTGGTAACCTTTTCAAGAGATCGTGTATGTATGTTTACGATTTGATTCTACCAAAAATGTATGGTGTCTTGCCTGACTGGTCAGTATTTGGAATGAAGAATGAAACATTTCCTAGAGCTTGGGAGGGTAGACAAGGCATCATTTTCTGTGTACGGGTAGACAAGGCACCATTCTCTGTGTACAGCTACCAAAGTGACAATGTACAAATGTGGAACTGTATATTACGTATATCTTCTGTGCCTGGTGCCATATTATTATTTATTTGACTAGCTCCTTACAAATTTGCTGAATGTATTTGCATGTAGTTGTACTTTTACATTTCTAATGGCTAGAGTTTACTTACCTGCAACTAGCAAGCTATTTTGTTGTGAGGTTGAAGAACATGTATCGCAGAAGGGACCTGGCACCGAGTTGGAAGTTGGTTTTTTGTCAGCTCCACAGCCAGGCTTGCAAGCTTCATGTACATCATAAGTCCTTTAATATGGCTGGGAACCATATGCAAGCAACACACAAGCAGGATATGAGGCCTGTTTTAAACCACAATTGTTCTTTTTATTTTTATTTATGATTTATTGTTCTTAGTAATTTTTAGAGAGAAGCATCTTAACAGTAAATCATTTGAAGTACTGGTAACACCTTTCAGAAAATTACAGGCCATGAAAAACTTTCTGATCTATTGACTGACATTAAGAACTACACATTTTTTAAGCTGTGTAGAAGTAAAAAAATATGTGTTTTTTTCTGGGTTTTTTTTTGGGGGGGGGGCGACATTTAACACTTTTTAATGTGTGTCAAATGGAAGCAGAAGACAATCTTGTCAATTCATTTAATTTACACAAAAAAAACCACTGCCAAATTGCTGTTTTGTTTTGTTTTGAGCACACAAGGGTGTCACATTGCATGTCAAATAGAAATGTGCCCTTGTATTACATTTATTGTAGTTTTACTTGGGTATGTTTGTTCCACATAAAGTTCTTGTACCTTTTATTTATAAAAAATAAATGTGACCATTTATTCCAGGATTTCAACTGAGTTAGTAATCTTGATATATTAAGTTTTTATTGGTTCTTTTCTTTCTTTTCTTCCCCCCCCCCCCTCGTGTGGAATTTCAAGCTTTGATTTGCATAATTTTATGTTAAGTTATTTGTAACCTGTGTTGTAAGATATCTCAATAATTGTAAACACCATTACTGGCCTTATGGCCTATCATTATACTACTTTATAAAAAAAACTTTATTGTATAAATATAGCAATGTCCTCAATTCAGAGATTAATCAAGCTTATGTGAATTATTGATTTTATTGTTATGCCATTATAATCATTTGTAATCTTTTTAATCAGGCTAAAATGTTAGAACTACTTATAATTGTACTTACATTAAAAATTCATATATGTATATAAAGATTTTATGTCATTCTCTAAATGTCTTTAAAATGTTTCATGAATTTCACCCAAACAGAAGTTAAACCAAATGACCCAACCGCAATAATGATGATGGCTTTATGGTAGAGGGAAAGTGATTTTTTTTTTAGCATTTACATTTCTTAGATTATATTATAATTATTTTTTTGTAATGTACCGGTATACAGTAGACTTCTTTACATTGTTCGAATATGAATGCAAACATCTTTTTGTGTGTGTGGTTATTAAATTTTTTTTAGTACCATATGTGAGTTCTTAATTAGGATGATGTATATTCTAAAAAATGGCAATTTTAAGTAAATGGAAACCACTTGATGAAAATATTTGTATCCACTTTTTTGGTATTTTCTTTGTACATGTCATCTTCACTTTCATTCAACGGCTTATTTTGTTAGATTATTAAATTGGTTTAATTGAAAGAACTCATTAAAAAAATAAGAAGACCTTTTTATTTTTATTAAAGACATTTCAATTTTTTTTATTTCTCAAATTTATTTTTTTTTAAACATCACAAAAAGAAGAGCCTAATGTGTAGTCTATTATTTTTTTTTTAAATTTATAAATTAATTCTGGATGTCTTCAAACATAAGATTTGATATTGAAGTTACAAATTTAATCAAGACTGCAATGAACAGTAAATCATTTTCCCCATTCTTCCCTGGTCAAGGTTTAAGACTTTTACAATATTCAGAAGTATAGTTGGTAGAGGTATAGCTGGTAGAGGTATAGTTGGTAGAGGTATAGTTGGTAGAGGTATAGTTGGTAGAGGTATCAAATAAAATTCTGAATTTTTTTTTTGTTAAAATTTTCTTTGGAAAGAGCCATTCTTCAAATAATTACCCCTGCGACTGCATGATGATGCCATTTTTTTTACCTCATACCATTGAGCCCAAAGATAAATGAGTGAATGACACAGTGACATACTAATGGTGGGGCAGCTAGAGAGCAAGCAGAGAGGGACATTGTTGACGTCACATTACATAGCTCTTCCACTTCTAAGTAACTCTTCTCATCTCCAAATTCTGACGGTCCCTCCCCAAAATCAATGAATGTGGATTCCCCCCCCCCCCAAAATAGTATCAAGTGACAATAATACTACGTGTAAGATGCCCCAATTAAGTTATTTTGAACTGAACTTAATTGAAAACTAATATGCTTATTTAAAACAATAAAAAATCACGGGTCTATCATACGACCGTGAGATTAACCTCTATGTCTAAGCTTAATTTCCTTGTCCGTGTTCGTTTCGAGTTGTTCCAATATGGCGGCGATGTTTTCTGACTGCTCTGCCTGCTGCTCACTTCCACGGAGAGCGTTGATCAGAGGAGCTATCTGCAGCGGTCCGACTTGCGGGGAGAAACGATACAGCGGGCGGCCTTCCGGGGAAACGAGAATCTTTTCAAAGTTCCACGTGACGTCGCTGACGCGGATCGGATCCCAGAAGCTCTCTCTTGGCTTGAACTTGGCGAGAGATGGCTGAGGGCATGACTTCTGGGGACCATGAAACAAAATCAACAAAGTGTCGTAAGCCGTGTGCCGTCTATTAAGGAAGGCATGGTCACATTGGGCAGTTGAATACACTAATTGTTATCGGTAAAGGCACCAGATACTATTCTTTTTGAAACTGTTAAAGAATGACAGTTTAGTCGTTTTTAATTAATATATATATATATATATATTCGTTATAATTATTGTACACTTTTTAGGGGGGAGGGGCACTTGACTTTCGCAGGGACAGGGAGATATACCTGAAATAAACCCTGCCCATGGGGGGCTCAGTGCATTAATTTTTCCAGCCCCCCCCCCCATCCCGTCCCCCAATGCTGTTAATACTGCTAAGCCTACAGTATAGAAAAGAGGTGTGGCGCAGAAGAAAAAAAACTGAGAAGGATCTGCTATATGGAAACCTTGATGACACCAACGAAAGCTCCCAAAGTAACAGGCAGAAGTGGTGTTACATAGCCGTTGAGTCAAGTACCAATTGACGACGAGGGCTGAGTTTTAAAGCATATATATAATTGTTGGGACCCAGCTTATAATTATAATCCTAAAAAGAATATCCCAGGCCTTATGGATTTCGTCTTGCGAAGTCTACACCATCGTCACATTGTGACGGATCAATGCCAGCAATCAATGTCTCCAATATTACCCGAAAAATGCCATCTCCTCTACCCCAGTCCATTCACTCTCCAACACATACACAAATACCATTAAAACTGACCTTGAGGTACGTATAAAGAGGGATCTCGTTTTCCCCATTCACAGCCCCCCTCAGCATTAGGTTCAAGCTCGGGTTGGGAGTGAATCCGTTCCCGGGTCGGACATGCCTCAGGCAGTTGAGAATCTCCGTCCCGTTTACACCCGGCTCTTGATGGCCGAACTGGTCACTGGGGAAGGCTAGGACGCTGAACTGGTCGCTGGGGAAATCGGTCAGCATCTCATTTAGTTCGTAGTACTGGAGAGTCAAACCTGCGGAATCATAATAAATCAGTGCCATTTGTCTTTATTTTTGTCTCTCAAAAATAGTTTGAACAATCCCTTAATGTGTCTGTTTTTCTTGGTGGCCATTGGACATAACTTTAGACAATTTGATCGCCCCCCCCCCCCAACCCTTTTCCAAAAAATCTCATACGGCTATAACGCTCTGCCCACTTTAAGACCTTCCCTGCCCATTTTAAGACCTTTCCTGCCCATTTTAAGACCTTCCCTGCCCATTTTAAGACCTGCACTGTCCATTTTAAGACCCTCCCTGCCCATTTTAAGCCCTGCCCATTTTAAGACCTGATCTAGAAATCATGCTATTTCTCCTCAACTACGCCTGAAAATATCTTGGCAACATGTCTCTGACAACACAGCCATAGCGTCCTATTGGCTTTAGAGTGTTATAGTTATACTCACGACAGAAAGACAACACAGCCATGACATACTTGGCTTTACAGCGGTTATACCCACGACTTTACAATGTTATACTCACGACAGAATGAGGCCACGTTGATGACTAAGCTGTATGTTCCAGACGTCAAACTGGACACGGTTTTGTTGATCTTGCCATGGATGTCCGTCACGGTGTATTCCAATATCGAGGTGTCTGGCTCTGGCTCACATATGCTGTAGTATCTTCCTGAATAAAAAAAAAATAATTAATCAATGAATTACCATCAGTCGTCACCATGGAGCGGGAACTAGAAACACTTGATGACATTATCACGAGGTAGACCCTATAGGACTTCTATTAATCCTTAATTAAATTACACATGAAGTGTAATCATTACAAAAAAAGATCAACTGTTATAAATTGTTTTTTTTTTTTTTTTAACGTGAAGAAAAGTATAATTCTAAGTTTTTTTTTTTTTCAATATTTTGATTTTTGAAAACGGTTAACCCTATAGGACTTCTATTAATCCTTAATTAAATTACACATGAAGTGTAATCATTACAAAAAAAGATCAACTGTTATAAATTGTTTTTTTTTTTTTTTAACGTGAAGAGAAGTATAATTCTAAGTTTGTTTTTATTTCAATAGTTTGATATTTGAAAACGGTTATGCATCTTGACCTAATTAAGTCGCGAATGACTAGCCTGGACCTCTCTCGACATCTGAGAGGCACTGACCACTCGTATACTGTTGTTTTTTGTCTAGCTATTGTCCATGGTCATTCAAATAAAAATGTACATTTAGAAAAAAATGTTTTCCAAGTTGTGTAAACATTTAAAACTGATAAAAAAACCAAAAAAAAAAAAAAAAAACAACAACAACAAAACAAAGATTATAAGTCTCCCCTCTTCCTTGGATCACGAACTGAATATGCTATTGAGTATTTTCATGTGATCCCGTGTCAATATTAAGTAGCTCTAATAATATCGGGATTTTAAAAAAATAAATCGCATTGGTTACCGTACCAGAATCCACGTGCACCGCCAGGAAACTCAACAACGCCATCTTCAGGATCACGTGCATCGCCATCTTGTTGTATTGACACTGTGACTGGGAACAACCGAGACGGCGCGTCCTGGTGAAAATGCGCTGGCGTCTCGCGAACTCTGGACAATATGTTTATAGAACTGAAGTCCCCGACCTACACAAATGATGTGATAATTGCATTTATAATTAGTGATGGCCTGCCCTCTCCCCCTTTAAAAAAAAAAAAAATAACAACAACAAAACCATCCAGACTGGGAAGTTATATTACAATAGGTGGTAACAACAACTATAATGCATTGGCCACAGTGTATCATTCTTAAACAATCAACTTTTACTTGCTTTTTATTATTTTTTTTTAAAGACTGAAATGGTGTGAGCGAACACCGTGGAGTTTTTTTGTGTTTTTTTTTTATGGTGGACAGAATAGCAAGGGGGGGGGGGGCTTGTGCATGTCACGAGCAATAACTCTACGTGTTATGGCATTTCTGGATTTAAAAAAAACAAACTTAATTTTAATCCATCAGATTAATGAATAGGCCTGATTTAAAATTAGCTGACAAGAATAAAATAATGACACAGCGTCAAGTGACTGGGTGACCATTAACAATTATATCAGAACAATTTCATCTTTAGTAATTAGAGGCCTATTCCTTTATTATTATTATTATTATTATTATTATTACTATTACTATTATTATTATTATTATTATTATTATTATTATTATTAGTGTAGTATTAGTGAAATCTCTTCATAATCACGTATAAACTTAATTTTTTTTTTTTTAAAAGAAGACTCAATATTTAATATCATAATAGTTAATTTTTAAAAGAATAAACAAAGTGGGAGCATGTAATTCTGCACAATACTATTTTTATCTTACAAATAAAACACGAAAGTCGCACTGATGTTACTCTGTATAATAGATGTGTTTTAATAAGTTTTAATTTTCATTTTTACAAATTTAATTGTTTAATAGTTAGAGTGTTTTAATTTAAATTTTAATTAGTTGTTAATTTTGTAACATTTTTTTAGTTAGTTCAAATTTGTGACGTACTTTAGTGGAAAAAATTGAGGGGGGGGGGTGGTGGAGAGGTCTCAGTACTTTAGGGGCGGAACATTAAATAATGGGGTGGGGGGAGACATACCCGTGTGTGGAAGTGGAAGCATCATTCTGTGTGGTGGATTTCAAAGTGTAAAGAGAGTCCATGTTGGGAGGCAAGGAAAAAATGAGAGGGGGGGGGGGGTATCTTTGTTTGCCCAAGTGCGATCCTCGTATGCACAATTATCATGTTTTAAAAAAAAATGTTTAATGAGTTATTTCCCATGGATTGATTGTCCTTCCTGAAATGTCCTAGTTGCCCCTCTTATATTTTAATTTAACAAATTTAAATTTACTAATACCTTTTTGAATTTACTATAACACAGAAAATAAAAATAAAAAATTTAATTACAACTAATAAAAAAATTAAAATTATGCATAACTTTGTATTTTTATTGGCAATTTATTTTTAGTTATTTTAAATAAAGTTGCTCTATGGACTTTTTTAAAAACAGTATTGTTAAAAATATTTTTTTAGTACTGTTCAATTTTTGATTATGTCCAATTAAGATCATACTTTTAGGGATCATTTCTAAAGTGTGTCTTGCCGAGACGTCGAGTAAATCTTGACGGCACTAAAACCACGATGATGAGAGTCCGTCTCTTCCTCTGAGCGTGAAGCTGGCTCTCTTTGTGGCTCCTGCTCGTGGGGCCCCAATCATGAGTCGTTGAGGATCGTTCCTCTCCTCCGTTAGTGGGGAGGTGGAGGAGGAAGAGACAATCTGAGTGGCTTTTCTTAGAAAGAATTCGAATTCCTTGAATTTTGAGATTGAAAACCTTCTGTTCACCAACTTCATGTTGAAATTGCTTAAATTTATTCCAGTTAAATACGTTTAACGGGTTGAATTGGTTATTGGAAGTCGGGGGTCGTCTCATTAGCTGGGACTCAATCCGGGATCCCGACTTTCGAAAGTACCGGACGATATTTGATGCTCGAATAACTGGGATTGAATTTGTAAAAAAGAATGCATTTACTTAGTTTCCACGTCGTAGTTAAAGCAAGTCATATCCATCATATATGACCTCTTCAAGTGTCTTCAAGTACAAAAAGAGAGCCGACCGACGGGCTAGATCTGTATACTCTTGTTGTCAAGAATAATGACGTGATTTGTTTTGTTTTTGCGTAGTGTGTAAGTGGAGACAAGGTACGCAGTGATATTTCAGAAATTTTTCTGGGGTGGGGGGGGGGGGCACTTCAGATTTTTTCGGGGGGGGGGGTGGGGGGGGAGGGCAGTGCCACTTGATGTATTGTTGGACATGTTTTTGCTTCGGGGGTGGGGGGGGGGAGCACTTGGCTTTCCGCGGGAGATATAGCTGAAAGAAACCCTGGTCACGACGTGAAGGTACAGGATTGGTAAGTAAATGTTTTCGTATTATTGACAAATAAGTGATTGGTATAGTGGAATGAGGATCCAATTTTGACTTCCTTAAGAGTTTATATGGAAATAATAATACGCTGCACTCAAATCACGGGGTCAACTTTTAATAACAAAAATGTTTGATTGCTTGATTTCTTTTAATTTTGCCAAAAAACCTACATATGTAAAAATATGAGTAAATCAATATTTTGATAATCAAATACCTAAAGTTTAAGACACAGAAAAATTATGTTACTTGTATTTTGTGATAACAATATTAATAATTTACATTCACCTCATAATTGAAATTGATTTTCGAGCTATTTTGTCTTATCCTGAATTTCCCAGTTTGTCTGTACTGCACCTAACCAAAATTTATATGACTGAATGTCCCTGTTTGTCTGTACCGTACTTAGCCAAACATTTACATGAAGATTTAAACATTGAACAAAAACAAGTTTTACACGTCAAACCAATTCGATTTTTTTGAATTTATAATTTTCTGTTAATGATTTATTTCCCTTCAGGTTGATAGAAAGAAAAGGGGGACCCTGAAAAAAATAAACCTAAATTTGAAAAGCATATGATTATGAAATTATTGGAAACAAAGACATCAGTTTGGCGTCATTCCTTCAAGCTACGGACAATCTCTCAGCTAAATGTATTAGATGTAACAAGATACTTAAAACATTGGGAGGTACAACTTCAGTCATTCACTCTCATTTAAAGTCTGCACATTCCAGTGACTACCTGGAAGTATTTCAAAGGCCAGATTGCAACCAGATGCGAAAACATATCGTGGATATTTAAAAGCTTGGTCAGACAGAAAATTCCTCTTTGGGAATATCTACGAACAATGAAATTGAACATCTTGGATCTGAGCATGACGAACTCGAAGACACACTGCTGCTTAAGACACAATTAGAAATTGAAATACAAAAGAAACTTAAGGCTTAAGGCTCAGGATAATACTTCCAGACCAACGGATGGAGACATTGATACATTAGTAAAAATAGAAATGGCTTTATTTGAGAATGGCTGTTCAAAAGGAAAATATCTAGAAATTGCGTATGAAAGCCTAAGGTCTATTCCTCCAACCAGTCTGGAGTCAGCCGGTGTTCTCTTCATCAGGTTACTTTTGTTGCCATTTGCGGTCGAAGTTAAGTGACCAAACATTATTTTCTTTGTCATTTTTACAATTTCATTATTTAAATTTTACCAAAGATTAAAACAACACAAATTATTTTAATATTTGATTAATAAAACTATTTAAATTAAAAAGTTAAGAACATTATTTTTGTTCGTTGGGATTTAAGTCTGAAGTTAAACATTTGTGTTATTGTTAAAAGCTTATTAAAAATCAAAATGTGATATTTTTTCTGAATGTTTTTATTTCATTGATAAATCCTCACCTCTAATCTTGAATAAAAATTCTCTAAATACGGAAAATACAGGGATTCCGGTATTCGTAATCTTCAATATAGAAAATACCGGTTTTGGCAAAAGGGACAGATTTTGCGACCCCTAGCTGGTATACGGCGTGTTGAAACTCCAGGGACAGGCGCCCTCTAGTTCCAGTTTAGAAAACCAACAGCATGGCAGCTCCCATGGGTTTATTGTCTTATCCTTCCAGTCAGCTTTAGAGTTAGAGTAAATTGTGAAAAAGTTTAATCCACTTACACTGTTTTATGTTTACATCTTTGATGACAAACAGCCTTATGTATATCAGTGACAATTTTCCTGCTAAGTACCTGCATGTCATAAGCATTTGAATTAAAATTACCATATTGAAATCAAATCGGATGGTTTTCATTTTTATTTGGTTTGGAAGAGGGGTAGTCTTATATGGCAAGTATAGCCCAAACCCTATATTTTAACAGGAAAAGTGGGGGGAGCGTGTGTCGTCTTATACGCCCAGACATCTTATACGCCGGAAAATGGAAAATATGGTAGGCCTATTAATTTTTTTTATACATGGTTTAACATGAATAAATATTTCTGTCCCCTCAGTTTCCTCATTTTCACTGTTTATACCAATTTCCTACCGACACATGATAACTGGGAATTAATTGAAATGGCTATTAAATTTCTTGAGCTTATATTCTTGTCTTAAATATATGACAGACAAATAATTTTTTATTTGCTTAGGGATTTTTCCTATTTATTTTGAGTTTTTGATAACAATTCACAATAGATTTTTAGAACATTTACAACATTATCATAACAAAATAGTTAAAATCATAAAATTCCAGTTGTTGAATTTAAATCAAATACATCCTTCATTTTAGATTTCAGAATATTCATTGCATACAATTTTTAAAATATTTTTTAGTAATTCATGTCATCACAAAGAAACAATGTAAAGATATGTGTACCGGTACTTTTTAAATAAAAAAAACAAAACATGCTATGGAATGATGAAAAAAATAAAAATATATTTTTAATTTATTGCAGACTCATAAATGGGGGGGGGGGGGGGGGAAATTAAAATTTAAAAATAATAAATAATTTGTACACCACCAATAACATGAGCTCTTTGGTTGGATTAAAAAGAGGGAGCAATGCTTAAGACAGGGAACCTGTTGCATGCAGTCCCAGTGGACAAGTCCAACAACCATTTTCTATTTCATGTTTTATTCTGTCAGCAATGAGAGGCAACACAATTTTCCAAACTTTGCCAAGAGGGAGGGAAAAAAAGCGAGATTAAAACTAATCACAATAGTGTGTGTCAGGGGAATGTTGTTGTCAGCAGAGTA